GGTGTCACATGGGGTTATTATGGGGTGTCACGTGGGGTTATTATGGGGTGTCACATGGGGTTATTATGGGATGTCAGGGGGTTATTCTGGGATGTTACATGGGGTTGTTATGGGATGTTACATGGGGTTATTATGGGGTGTCACGCGGACATTGGGGGCATTTGGGGACAATGGGGACATTTGGGGTCAATGGGGACATTTGGGGTCAATGGGGACATTTGGGACATTGGGGGCATTTGAGGACATTTGGGGACAATGGGGACATTTGGGGTCAATGGGGGCTTTGGGGTCAATGTGGACATTGGGGACATTGGGGTCAATGTGGACATTGGGGTCAATGGGGGCATTGGGGTCAATGGGGGCATTTGGGGGTCAATGGGGGCATTTGGGGGTCAATGGGGGCTTTGGGGTTATGGGGCTGTGGCATTATGGTCTTAAGGGATTGTGGGGTTATGGGTTTAAGGGATTATGGGGCCATGGGGTTATGGGTTTATGGGATTATGGATTTAAGGGATTATGGGGCTGTGGGGTTACGGGTTTATGGGATCATGGGGTTATCGGGATGTGGGGTTATGGGTTTATGGGACTATGGGTTTATGGGGCCATGGGGTTCCGGGCTGTAGGGTTTCGGGCCGTAGGGTCCCGGCGTTAAGGGACCACGGCGCTGTGGGGCACAGAGGCCGGGCGCCCGAAGAAATCACCGTTTCGGCCGCCTCCGCGCCTTGCTGAGTTCCCGCCGCCTCTTGAACAACTTCCGGCGCAGCTCCTGCGGGACGGAACCGTTACCGAGACCGGAACCGGAACTGCCCCCCCCCCTTTCCCTTTCCCTTTCCCCCAGGTTTCCCGCCGCGCACCAACCGTTTTCGGTCGGTTGATTTTTCCCCCGATCCCCATCGCGCACGTGCGACTTCCGGCCCCGGCCACTTCCTGTTTCTCCGACTTCCGCTCACGCTGCTTCCGTTCCGTACCACGTGGCTCTCAAATCCACTTCCGCTCCTCACCTGTCATCCCGCCCATTCTCTCTCCCCATTGGTTGTCCGTCAGCCAGCGCCGCGCGCGATTGGCTCCTTCCAGACAGCGCCGCGTCTGATTGGCTGAGCGACGCACAAAAGGCGCCGCGTGGAGGCGAGCCGACCATTTTGCGGCAGAGCGGAGCGCGGAGCGGAGGTGCGGTAGTAATGGCGTCCGAAATACGGCTTCAGTTACGAGGGGGAGAAAGAGGGAACGTGGAGGCGGGGGGGTTGGATGGGGGAGGCTCCTCCGGTTCTTGGCAGGCCCGGCTCGCCGTGCCCGGCTCTGTATGGGCGGAGGTAGAGCAGAGACCGGAGCGGCGTCTTCGGTACCCGCGGCCATCCGCGGGGTTCTGCCCTCCCGCGCCGGGACACGCGAGGAACGTCGGGGGCGGCACGTGGGGAGGGGGTGGGAACCCCCCATAGGGACCCGCATTGGGGTGAGG